GTATAGGTACAGTGGAGCTTCGGAGTGCCCTCTGGTGCAAAGTCTGGTACCGTCCTTCAACTGCTGTAAAAAGCAGTCAGAAAGGGGTAACATCATAGAATCAGGGAATAGTTTGGGTTGGAAGGGACCTTTAAAGACCATCTAGTCCAAACCCCTGCCATGGGCAGGAACATCTTCAACGAGATGAGGGTGCTCAGAGCCCCGTCCACCCTGACCTGGCATGTTTCCAGGGATGGGGCATCTCCCGCCTCTCTGGGCAACCTGGGCCAGTGTTTCATCACCCTCAGGGTAAAAAATTTCTTCCTTCTATCTAGTCTAAATCTCCCCTCTTTGAGTTTCAAACCATTGCCCCTTGCCCTATCGCAACAGGCCCTGCTGAAAAGTTTGTCCCCATCTTTTGTATAAGCCCCCTTTAAGTAGTGGAAGGCCCCTCTAAGGTCTCCCCAGAGTCTTCTCTTCTCCAGGCTGAACACCCCTAACTCTCTCAGCCTGTCCTCACAGCAGAGGATCTCCAGCCCTCTGATCATCTTTGTGGCCTCCTCTGGACCTGCTCCAACAGGTCCATGTCTTTCCTGTGCTGAGGACCCCAGAGCTGGACACAGGTGGGGTCTCCCCAGAGCAGAGCAGAGGGGCAGAATCCCCCTCCTCGCCCTGGTGGCCATGCTTCTTTTGATGCAGCCCAGGATGCCGGTGGCTTTCTGGGCTGCAAGCGCACATTGCTCATGCCTAGCTTTTCATCCACCAACACCCCCAAGTCCTCCTCAGGGCTGCTCTCATCTCAGCAGAGCTGGTCTTGATGTCCTAAACCTCTAGAGCCACTTGCTAAGAGAAGCTGTGCTGAAGCTGTGCTTTAGATTTACCAGGGCCTGTGCTCAACAAGATTTTTCAGTCTGGAATCACTATGACTACTTTTAGTTTCTGTATCTCATCGATTTCCAGTGATGTTTTAAATGTCAGTGGAAAACTACTGATTTGGGGGAAAACCAACTAAACCACAACAGAGAAAGCACAGGCACATGAATTCCCTGATACACAGTTAGCTGAAGTACAGATTCAACTCCTCTCAAATTGTTCATTAAAGTGGTTGGAAGCATTTGCCAGCAGCATCTTCCAGCATGATAATGCCCAACTTCATCCCTGCAAAACCCATCCAAGAATTCCTGGCATGTTGATACCCTCTGAATGACTCAGCCTCCCATAGGAAAAGGAGGTAGATCAGGGAATTTTAGGAAGGAAGGGCGCTGAAACTAAGCACAGAGCTAAGAACAGTTAAATGCATAAGTGCTACGGAAAGAACAGAAAATAGGGGAGCTTGGGCAGAGAAGGAAGGTAGGAATACACACAAATAGGAAAGAAAATACAAGCACTGATATGCATCGAAGGGGAAATGGGAGAAAAGGATGGGTTGTGACTCTGAAATGGGGAGAAAAGAAAATGGGGAGTATCAGAGAAAAGTAAAACTATATACGTCCTGGTATAAAGCAGGCAGGAGCATGAGGGAATCTGGTACACGGAGGAGAGATCAGAAACAATGACCTGGAATGAGACATGGAGCAGCAGTGCCATGAGGAAGAAGAAACGGGATGAGCCCAACTCATTCAGTTTCAAAAAACTGTATGTTGTAAAATGAATTTTAAAAGACATTCCAAGCTTGAATATCCCTTTTTACAAATTACAAAATTATCTAGAAGATCTACATTCTCACCTATCAGTGGCAAAACACAAAATAAATCTGCTATAGGAGTGCACTGAAAGCAGTTGTTTGGAATGACACTACCCTCTGGTGGTGAAAAATACAGTTATACAAACACCAGGAAGGTAAAATATTTGGAGCTGGTCATACAGGTAACTAAGGCTTGCTGACCCCTTATTCCTGTCATTGGCACCATCTATCCTTTAAAAAAAAAAAAAGCAATCAATTCCAATCCGCACTTTAGTAATCCACCTTGAGACCATGCCTTTAAATGACACATCCACCCTAATAGTCTGTGTTTTAAAATGACGCATCCATGTCTGGTCATAAGCACGAGTTATCTGAGGCTCAGAAACAGACGGGCAATAGTTTTTATGTTCTCTGGCAACCGGCAAGAACAGGAACAACACACATGTCTGTGCTCAGCTATGTAAGTAAAGGAAGTAACGCAATACTAAATTCCTAAATTATTCGCAAATAAAACGTAAAGCTGTTACCAGCAATTTTCTGCTTTATCTCTCTGGAAAATAAGCTCCTCAGAACTGGCAGTCACTTTTTGTGTGTGCAAGACAGCTCCTAGAGCAACAGACTCTAGTCTCTAGATGTCACTTTAATACAAGTATTTAATAAAAACTACAATACAGCTTGTAGAAAAGAAAAATGGAAGAGAATTTTTCCAAGTTAGTGCTGAGCACATCCATAATTGTGTACATGGTCTCCAATTAATTCAAAACAGAGTGCATAAAGCTGTGGTCAGAAGAAAAAAAAAAAGGAGCCTATATATATGTATTAAAAGCCAGCTTTCTTATTCTGATCCTTAATTCTAACAGGAGATTCCTTAATTTTATCCAAAATCTTAAATACGTAAAGGATATAACTGTTTTTTTCTTCCATATTGCAGTTACAGAACATCATTGCTGAGAGAAGCAACTGCTTCAATTCAAGGTTCTCATGAAGGTGCTTTGGGACTTACGTAATGAATTAACACAGTCATGATGTCTCCTGCCTTGCCTCACTCACATTTCTTGACATCTAATCTTGTACAAACAACAAAAGCCAAATATTAACCATTCTGCCATTTTCTCCTTTCCTCTTTTTACACTATCACTGTTCAACTATTGGGGTTCCCCCCCCCCCCTTGTTAAAAACATCCCCGTTTCTCATAGCCAAATGATCCTCTTGGAAGCTGAGCTTCCCGAATACTCTTTTATCCCCAAAATTCTTAAGACCAGATGATCTAAATGATCCTATATTTCTGGAAATGAGGAAGAGCTTGTCACGTCACTCCCTCCTAGACAAACAATTCTGTAGTTTGCAACTTTGATCTTTATAGTAGGCTGACCTTCAGCTAGAAGTAAGGGTTTGCTTTTGTTGCTTGGAAGCAACCTATTTGTGTGTTGCCTGCTTGCAAGAAATTACACCGTGCAGACTTTGATCGGGAAAAGTCCTTCTTGCCAGGTCATAAACTGTCATCTGTGATGCCACCTTGTGGCTAAAATAATGGATCCTAGAAATACTCAGCATTTGTCCCTCCTTGCAGGTGCAGCTAACTGCAGCACAGTGGTAACTGCTGCCAGCAGCGCTACAGTTTTACAGTTCATAAAAGCAGGATTTTTGGCACTCCAAAAAAAAAATGCGGCACCAGTCAATGACTGCAAGGACGAAAAGCAGGAAAAAGCACCTAAAAGGCATCTATTCTTACCACAGGGTGCAAACCAAAGCGGTGTGTCAAAGGACACATGGCACAACCATTCGTGTGCTCAGAGCCCACACATTTATTTCTTTCTTCCCCCCTGCAAAACACTGGCGGTGAGAGGTACAACCTGTTCCAAACACGTAACTGCAAAATAGCACCGCAGGTAGAGACTGAAGGAAAACTCAGCCCCAACCTAATAGGTCAGGAAGTATTTACACCAGTTACCTCTCACTAAACTCACCCTTCTCGGTTACTAGGCACAAAAAAATCATCCTGAAGGAGGCCATGCCTGTTTTTCAGGGCTGTTTGGGGGCCTGCTATGAACGCCAACGTTACCACCTTCTGCAGCATGAGGACACCGCCTATTTTTAGCGTTACTTCCACTGGAGAAGCCCAAGAATCCCCACCTGCCGCCTCCTGGCGCTCTGTCAAACGCCTTTCTCCCCGCCAGCGAGTGGGAGGCAGAGACTGAATTAACCCGCACACCTGCCCCTCGCACCGCCAGGTTCCCGGGAATGAGGGAAACCATGCTAAAAGCCTTCGGCCAGGCTAAGGTCAGCAACCACCTCGGTTTTGCTGCCTGGGTGATGAGCTGGGGCCGCTCCTCACCTCACGTCACTTCATAGAGTCGTGGAATGGTTTGGGTTGGAAGGGACATTGAAGATCATCCAGTTCCACCCCCTGCCCTGGGCAGGGACACCTCCCACCAGACCAGGTTGCTCCAAGCCCCGTCCAACCTGGCCTTGAACACCTCCAGGGATGGGACAGCCACAGCTTCTCGGGGCAACCTGTCCCAGTGCCTCACCACCCTCAGAGTGAAAAATTTCTTCCTGATATCTACTCTAAATCCACCCTCTTTCAGTTTAAAACCGTACTACCGCTACACTCCCTGATGAAGAGTCCCTCCCCACCTTTCCTATAGCCCCTTTAGGTACTGGAAGGGGCTCTAAGGTCTCCCCGGAGCTCTCTCCTCTCCGGACTGGAC